GATACATCAGCTTCGCCTGTTTGTATTGCATTCTTTGGTGCGCGAGAAAAGAATTTCCCTAGCAACTCTGGTAAAATAGCTCTCTTAAAGAATGACTCTGCTTTTGAAATACATCCAGTGATGAATTCAGTATTTGGGAAAATTCTTTCCACAAAAATGTCCTCTGATGTCCAAACTACAAAATCACAATACCTTCTGTTACTGCAGAACAATTGTAGTTGAACCTATATAGCATTCAATTCACACACCTCATACTGAACTAATGCCCAAAATACCGGGTAGTAATACATGTGAATTTTTTTAGTTGATATGCTTTTCCTTCAGTAGCTTCCAAACAAAAACTTTTATCAGCAACACTCTCTTCAATTGTGTCATCACGATGACAGTAGGGGCACTAAAAAAAGAATACAAATCAATGATAAGTAACAAGTTGATCACAAACCTTAATCTCACAAATCCCACTTCCACAACACAGACAATCTACAAGTGCATTGGGTGAGGCACCAAGAAAAGGACTTGCATGATTAATGAATAACCCACTCTTTGTTATAGTCAATCCATCATGAGTAGAGTTCAACTGTAAACTATATCTCTGGCGTGCTTCATCCTGTAGCATTTGAATTGAAACGAGCTACATCCGGATAGCAGATGGACATGATTAGACTCATGGGAGGAATTGCTTCATCTGCAGCACATACTGCTCTCAATCTCAATGCTGTAATGCGTCCAGCTCTCATGTTATACCAAATACGAGATTGAAACTGAGTCTTTGTTGATTTCTCTACTGCTAAACATTGACCCTCAGTAATGGATATCTCCAAGTCCTCAGCAAGAGATAACAAGTCGGTGTAATTTGATGATAAATATTCGGTGTTGTACAATGCAGATAATGGTGAGGGTAAGTCTGGACTTAAAGAGAGGGGAATATATGAAGATGAATAGTCTCTTGTCAGAGAAAGAATAGCTGGTTTACTTTTACATTTTGCTAGTGAAGAATACAGCTTTTGTATCTCTGCGTCTGTTGGAGGATTGATGGTCTTTGATGGTTGTTTTGGTGATGGAAAACTGGCTGAACCATCAGATTGAGATAGTGTGGCTGAGACATTATGATGAGGCGGAGTGAGTGAAGATGAGCAAGGTAAAGAAGTAACGTCTGGGAATATGCTTGATGTCAATGAACTGTAAGTTGTACTAGAAGACTGTTCAACAACAGAAGGAAGATGATGAGCAGCTTTCCATGTACTTCAAGCACGAATTTTACCCTGAAAATTGATTTGTTCCACTGGAACATATGGTACATCTTTCCTGCTATTTGGTAACACCCAGTAAGCCTTCTTCTGCGTCACTGTAAGTGAATCTCTTAGTTGCACGCCTGCTTCTATAGCCCAAAGGAGATATGCCACATGGCTGCAAGATTCACCAAGCCCAGCTATGCAATTGCAGTGACAAGACACTGCTTTCCCGCTCACTTCACAAATTACCCAAGACATTAGTGGTTTCTCTCTCAGTTTTTGAGAATGATTCACCTAATGATAAAACATTATTAAATTAGGTTTGACATACCTTGCATGGCTACTGTACCTTTGCTGTCATAACTCTTTTATCAGCAGAAGCAGGCTACAAAGACTAGTACTTCCCTCACCCAACCTGCAACAAATCTACTATAGCAATTGTAAAAAATTTATAAAAAAATTAATTAGTAACGCAGTAGCATTACTAAGTAGGATTCACCCCCAAACAAAATGGCTGCCACGACTTTTGCAGCCTTTTTTGATTGGAATTAGCTCAAAGTTGGTGCACAACATAAGAACATGTATATGTATTTTTAAAAAACACTATAAAAATGGAGATTCTCTCAGAGCCATTTTCAACGAAACTTGACTAAAGACTATATATTTTTGAGCAATGTTAGAAATTTATTAAAAAATCCAAATTTGATTGGAATCAGCTCAAACTTTTTTAACAACATAAGAACTTGTACAGACGTACATGTACATGTATGTATTAGAAAAAAATTATTAAAATGGAGATTTCTCTCAGTCATTTTTGACAAAATTTGGCCAAATTGGGCCAAAGACCAAAGGCTTATATGGTCTTTGGCCCAATTTCTGAGCAACTTTGATAATTTATAAAAAAACAAATTTGACCGAAATCAGCTCAAGCTTTCTACACAACATATAAAGATCAAAGAAAAAGTGTCTCCTTTTGATTTTTTGACGAAATACCCTATTAAGCAACTTGACAATCCACTCCCAATAAACTCCATGAGCACTATGCCAAAATTCGGTGGGAAACCCTGTGTCTGGCTATGCAAAACTACTGTATTATATGTACTTATATATTCATTTTGCAAGTAGCTGTTAATTTTGGAAAGAGTAAATATTAGTGATTCGCAAGTTCTAATTTGGCGAATTTGTGGCTCTGAGTCATTGAGTATACACATGATTGTTTGGCGAATGGCCATCAAAATGTTAAATTTGCCGAATTTTTTCTCCTTCAAATTACCAGCTACATGTACTTGTATCTAGTCTATACATATACATGTCATGTAATCCTCAAATAAAAGCCTAGAGGATTCTATATAAAGACTTGCAGTATTCCTTGTACATGTAGTTCATTAGTTGTGGTATGAAGTGAATGTAGTCTCATAGAGGGTTTGCTTGGCCACAACTCCAATAAATAGAAGCCTTTCTCAATAGAATGTTAGAAGCCTATTTTGGGGCTATATAGAGAATAATCCTATGTAACGTATAGGAGAACCCTCAAATAGAAGCCTGTTAAAGATAGAAAATAGAAGCCCAGGCTCCTACATGAAATAATAATAATTATTATTATCTTAGCTTTCGCATGTACTGTAAATGCATATGCACATTTAGTACATGTACATGTGTGTTTATTGGATTTTTATATTTTTCTTGCAGGTGGTTTTTCCCATTCATTGGACACATGGGTATATGTACTTCTGCTGGTATCATTAGGGATTTTGCTGGACCCTACTATGTTTCTGTAAGTTTTTAGTAGATTTAGACATATACATGTACATATACATGTACATACATTGTGAGCCATAATGATAAAAATTAAATTTTATTGAGAGGTCTAATTTTAACTGGCTTTATCATTATATCAAATATTCTTATACTAGGCACATTGTAACTTGAGAATGGTGAATGTTTCATGCATGTTGAATATTACACATGTGTGTGTGTGTGCGTGTGTGAGCGTGTGTGTTTATAAATTGTTTTGCATTACTTGTTACACTTTGTTCTTTGTTGTAGGAGGATCAAATGGGATTTGGTAATCCAACAATGTAAGTACAGTGCACATGTATTTCAGTATTCTGTTACTCTCTATTGTAGGTATTGGCAGTTGAATCCTAAGAATAGAGTAGCTGCTACCTGGGACTCTGCTGTACATCAAGCTTCTGAGGAGTATTCTCACAGAATGGTATCTATACATACATGTGTCCTTTATGAAAATAATGTCATCATCTTTTTTAGCATAATCTATTCTGTGATAACTGTCATTCACACGTAGCCCGAGCTCTTAACCTGATGCAGTATGATAACTCCACTTCATGGAATATGTACAAGCTGGGATTTCTTATGGTATTTAAAGGGAAATTTGTGAGGTATGTATGTAATTATATGAGGCATGTACATGTACATGTACAAGTTATTGAATGATACATGAACCATGTACATGTAATATTATGTACATGTACATATATAAGTAGTACATGTACATGTACTACTGGCAGCTTATAATATTGACACTTGCTTGTTTAATTTCCCCTTTTTGGGATTTTAATTATGAATAATCTTTCTTATTTATTATTTTGGAGCTCACATGATCACATCATCCCTCTATTACCTTTATTTTGAGTTTTAAAGTTATTTTACAGTTATTTGTATTTTGTAATGGAATGAGTGTCATATTACGATTTAACTCTGTATGACATTTGTCTTTCTATTTTTAGTTTTGGTGGCTTTTTGAAGACATGGTTACCATTTATTATCCTGTCTATACTGACGATCCTTATTGTTGTCATTGCTACAACTGTAGTGAAGACATCTGCTGCTTAACAATTACAAAGGACTATAAAATATTTTATTTTAACACATTAATGTACTTGTATTCTTTTATGTATTGTTGTAATGAGTGGGCGTTAACATACTTATTATGCCACACCCTTGATGACGTCAAGTCTTAAAAATTGATTTCGTCCCTCCCACTTTTTCAAAATGGCTGTATGTTTAGAGGATTTCCCTCCTTCCTCTGTGGAAGAGCCTTCGTATTTATGAGAGAGAAAGACCTAGAGAAAGGATGATTTCAAACAGACAAGGAACAGAGACCACGAAAAAGAAGTATTCCTGGACGGGCCTAGAGCTAAGGGGGCCAATAAAGAACTTAAGCCCAGTTCTATGGAGCTTCACTCACTTGACTTCGCTTTACCTGAACGATAACAACCTTCAGAGACTCCCACCAGATATAGTGAACCTCTCTAATCTCTCCCTACTCGATCTCTCTGGTAACAAACTGAGGAGTCTGCCTTCTGAGCTTGGGGATATGATTCAACTCAGGGAACTGCTTCTTAATAATAATTCACTGCGGATATTGCCGTGTGAGTTGGGTCGGTTGTTTCTACTCCAGGTACTGGATGTGGCTGGTAATCCACTCACTGTTGATATTTTAAATATGGCCGCCGAGCCCCAGGGTACATCAAAGCTTTTGGCATTTTTGATCGACAATTTAACAGGTGAGAATAATTATGTATTTTCAATTTAATCCACTTTACATGTATATGACTATGTGTTTTATGGATCAATTTTGTTTTTGTCTTGTAGTTAAATCTGTCTTAAACTACATATATACATGTACATGCACATGCTTGACTTCTGATAGTAATAACAGGGTCCTAATAAAATTACCATAATTAATTTCTATAGTTTCTCCAAGGCCACCTGATAGAGAATGGATACAAATTATATCGCCTAAACAAAGACAATCAAGTTAGTAGTCATCAATGAACTATTTCTCTCTCTCTCTCTCTCTCTCTCTCTCTCTCTCTCTCTCTCTCT